GAGAGCCACAGAGAGAGGACCCAAATTCTCTGCAAGAATACTGTGTAACTGTGTGTCTGACCCATGAACTGTGTGCACAGGGCAGACTCCAACAGTCCACAGATAACTGAATGATATTATAGCTAGCACCAAAGAAATAAAGTCCGACAATTAGATCCCAAGTAAATTAACTGGCTGCTTTAAAAGAAAATGTATTTGTGAATATTTACTGTGACTGAACTATTTGTACAAACAATGTGGTTTAGGCTAACACACACTCTTCTGAGAGTCTGCAATTTTGGTACATGCAGGGCAGAGGGCACCTCACCTACATGTCAACTCCCAATAAAAACCCTAGGTGCTAACTCTAAAGAGCTTCTGTAGTAAGACAACCTCTACCTCTATCTCATATCATACACAAAATTACTCAGAGATGGATTATGTAAATATACATAAAAACTAAAACTTTGGAGCTTTTAGAGAAAAGTATGAGAGATTATCTTCATGATTTGCGATTCGGCAAACTTTTTTTCATAGAAAAAAGAACAATAATCATAAAAGGAAAACTGTCAAGGCCAAGCCCAGTGGTTCACATCTGTAATCCCCCAGCACTCTGGGAGGCCAAGGCAGGAGGATTGCTTGAGTCCAGGAATTTGAGACCAGCCTGGGCAATATAGTGAGACCCTGTCTCTACAAAAAAAAAAAAATCAAAAAATTAGCCTGGCACGGTAGCGTATGTCTGTAGTCTCAGTTACTAGGTTGGCTGAGGTAGCTAGATCATTTGAGCCCAGGAGTTTGAGGCAGCAGTGAGTCGTGATCATGCCACTGCACTCCAGCCTAGGCGACAGAGTGAGATCCTGATTCAGAAAGAAACCTGACAAATCAGACATTAACTTTGTAAAAACTGCTCATCAAAATAATTACTAACAAAATGAATAAGCCACAGACTAGGAAGAATATTTATAAAACATAATTCTGACCAAGGATAGGTTTCTAGAAAAAAGATTGTGTGTGTGTGTGTGTGTGTGTGTATTCCAGCAACTCAATAACAAAAGATAAGTCAGTTTTTTAAAAACAAGCAGGCCAGGTGTGGTGGCTCATGCCTATAATCCCAGTATTTTGGGATGCTGAGGTGAGAGGATTGCCTGAGCCCACGGGTTCAAAACCAGCCTGGGCAACTTGGCGAGACCTCATCTCTACAATAAATTAAAAAACAAATCAGCCGGGCATGGTGGTGGATGCCTATAATTCCAGCTACTTGGAAAGCTGAGGCGGAAGGCTCACTTGAGCCCAGTAGGTTGAGGCTGCGGTGGCCATGAGTGTGCCACTGCACTCCAGCATGGATGACAGAGTGAGACACCAACTCAAAAAATAAAAATAAGCAAAGGACTTGAACAGATATTTCACCAAAAAAGATATATGGGGGATGAATAAACTAATGAAAAGTTGTCAGCGTCATTAGCCGGCAGAGAGATGCAAATTTAAACTACAATGAGATATCATGACACATTTATCAGCAGTGCTGAAATGTTAAAAATTAGTAACACCAAATATCAGCAAGTTGTGCAACAGCCAGCATTCTCAAACAGCATTGGTTCAAATGTAACATGAAAAAAAGGTTCACCAGTTCAAACTAAGTGTACCATCTACCCTATGCCTCAGTAATGGCAATCCTACCTAATGGAATTGGCATTAGAATATACAGGTTGTCTTTTGTTTTTGGAGTCAGAGTCTCACTGTCACCTGCACTGGAGTGCAGTGGCACACTCAAGGCCACCACAGCCTTGACCTGCTGGACTCAGGCAATCCTTCCACCTCAGCCTTCCAAGTAGCTAAAACTACAGATCTGTGGTACCACACCAGGCCAATTTTTTTATTTATTGTAGAGACGAGGTCTCGTGAAGTTTCCCAGGATGGTCTTGAAACTCTGGGCTCAGGCAATCCTCTTGCTTTGGCCTCCCAAAGTGCTGGGATTACAAGTGTGAGCCACAGTGCCCAGCAAAATATATATGTTGTCTATGTCCATAGCATCCTGAATGTGCCTGATCTTGTCTGGAATATACAGGTTGAGCATCCCTAATACAAAAATCCAAACTCCAAAATGCTCCAAACTCCAAACCTTTTTGAGCACCAACATGATGCTCAAAGGAAATGCTCACTGGAGCACTTAGATTTCAGAGTTTTAGATTAAGAATGCTCAACCAGTAAGTATAACTATAAATCTTCCAAGATCAGGAAAAATCCAAACACTTCTGGTCCCACGTATCTCGGATAATCAATACTCAACCTCTAACACCTATTACAAAAAAGGATGAACTAGCGATACACAATATCTCAAAATTATGCTGAATGAAAGAAGTCTTATACAAAAGGTATATGCTGTATGTGACTCCATTAATACAAAGTTCTACAACAGGAATATTAATATATTTTGGAGAATACAATACGTAATTAGTTACCTTGAGGGTAGAGGGTGAGTGCACAGACTGAGTGGGAAGGAGCATAAGGGACAGAGATTTGTTTCCAAAGGCAAATATATCAAAGCTAATCAAATAGGATGCTTTAGATTTGTGCAATTCATGAAAGGTAAATTTTATCTTAAAAGAAAAAGATGTCTGTAAATACTGAATTCTAGTTGATACATACTCTGCAATATTAAGATGTGTATTACTCTCTGTAACTAACTTTAAATTTAATAAAAAATGGACTAGATAAATAGATATGTAGACAGATATGTAATTAAACAAGTTTTTATAGTAAAATATTAACTGTAGAATCTATATGGGTGTTCATATAAAGTTGTCTCAATCTTTATTTTGAGCTTTTTCTTCTGAAAATATTAAAGGAAACAAACAATCTAAGTAGTATTCTCAAGGATAAAAAAGAAACTGAGACCATAAGACATGACTAAGGGCAGTAGCTCTTTACAATATTTGATTTTGAGTGTTTACAAAGGAATCTGTTTATTTTTAATATACTTGACTTATTGAATTAAGTATACTATAAGGTAACTAAAAGAAGTTACTGTATAGGAGATCTAAAATTGTCACAAAGCACAGTATCATCTTAGGTAAATGTCTGCTTAGTTAATTAGAATAAAAATATCAAAAATACTTTTTTAGAGTACTTTGGTATATGTACTTAAAATTTAAAACTATATTTTCTAAGAATCTGAGGTTGAAAAGGAAGGCTGGGGTCTGTGATCAGTATACAATCTTAAAATGGAAGTTCCAGGTCAGGCAGAGTAGCTCATGCCTGTAATCCCAGCATTTTGGAAGGCTGAGGCAGGAGGATTCCTTAAGTACAGAAGTTCAAGACTAGCCTGGGCAACATAGCAAGACCTCACCTCTTAAAAAACAAAAATATACTAAAAAAATTTTTAAAGTAACATGAAAATTTCTATATGTTTAAAAGATACCCTAATGACCAATATCAGCTTCCTAATAAAAAAGTTTATAAGACTTTGAAAAATCCCTCAAGATATCAATTTTATGCTATTAAGGATATAATACTACTTATTATATGTCCTTACTTAAGGAATATTGCTGTCAACCAACTTGGAATTTAGTAAAATACCATCCCACAAAATCAGGCATCCAGCAAGTGTCTTAAAAATACAACAGAGATAAAATTAACTAGAGCAGATAAAGTTCATGGATTTTGTAACAATGATAAGATTAAATATAACAATTTAAGAGGCAGTTCTCAACTAATGACGATTTTGAAAAATGTATACAAATGTGGGAGGGTTACATCCTGATAAACCTATCATAAATCAAAAATATCTTAAGTCAAAAATTCATTTAATGCACTTAGTCTACCGAACATCACAGCTTAGCCTAGCCTACCTTAATCGTGTTCAGACCATTTGTATTAGCCCACAGTTGGGCAAAACCATGTGTAACACAGAACACTGTAGAGTGTCAGCCATTTACCCTCATGACTGCAGTTGGCTAACTAGCAGCTATGGTGCTGCCCAGCACCATGAGAGAGTATCAGACTCATATTGCTAGCCTGAGAAAAGATCAAAAGTCTGAATTTGAGTATGTTTTCTATCGAAAGCTTATCACTTCCACACTATGGTGAAGTTGAAAAATCCTAAGCCAAACTATCAGAAGTTGGGAACCATCTGTAGTACCAACCTAAGTTACTTATTAAAATAAAAATGTTTAAGTTAATAAAGAAAAAATAAAATTGAGTCTATCAGCATCAAAGTATAGAGGGTTGGGAGAACTTTTGAAACCTGCTTTGTGAAAGACAAACCACATTAAATAAGAAAGCTCTATCTACATTGCAATTTAAAGGCTTCCATATGCTAAGTTCAAACATTAGGAGAAAAAAAGAACAGAGGAAAAATTTTAGGCAATTATGTCAAACTGTTGATGTCATACCTTATAATACCTTAACAGTATTACTGAATGCCTAATAGTAATCCAGAAATGTAAAATAAAACAGTAATAACGTCTCAGTCACATGATGCTTTTTAGGAATTTTTGAATAATAATGTGAGGAGGTGAGATGTCATTCCAAGTATACATCAATGTTGTAATCTTTCCGGGGATTCCTAAAGTTACATTTAGGAAATGTCAAAAAAACACTGCCAATTAGACATACATGAAGAATTAAAAGTAAAAGGCTCTCTTGTAAAGACATTTATGTTTGCAAGCTAAATGTATGAATCACAAATAGACTCATCGTGTTAACAGAAATGAACAATGACAAAGCACCATACCCTAAGCAAGAGAAATTCTGGCTTCACAAAGTCCAGCAAATACATGGTATCAGGAGCCGCAGCCAGTCTGCAATGGACCTGTTGGTTGAGGACATCAGAAAGGGGTCCTGTTCAAGGAGAGACAAGACAATCAAGAATCTCAAGACACATTTCAGAATATTTTTTCCATTCCACTCCATTTCTTTTTTCATAAACTTCACACCCTCTAACATATTCATTGTTTAACATCATGTTTATTTTACTATACATAAGCTCCGTGAGAGCAGGTGTTTTTAGCTCTGTCTTGTCAATGAAATATTCCGGCGGCGCGCGGCAAATTCCGCGACGCCGCGCGACGGGAGTTGCTCCCGGGCCCTTCCCGCCCGCCGGAACCCACGGCGTCCCGTCACGCCGACGTCTCCCCGGGGGCCCGGCCGCAGGCGGCCCCGCTGGCGCCCGTTTCCGGGCGTCTCAAAGCGAGCCGGAGCGCCCGCCGGGACCGAGGGAGTCCGCCCGATCACGCCGCCGCCCGCGATCCCGCGGACGAGACGCCGGGGTCTCCGAGGAAGACGCTGACCCGAAGCGGAGTCCCGGGGTCTCTCTCCGCCGCGGGCGGGAGACGTCGTCCGCTTTTTCTCACGGCGACAGGAAGTCGAGGGGAAATCGTGGGACTCGAGGTTTGGCTACGCCCTCCCGTGTTGCTAAAGGAGAAGCTGACCGCACCAAAGTGAGTCTACTTGGTGCTATGGGGGACCTGAGAAATCCAGAGAGAGACGAAGGTCAAGTGACAGATCACGAGATTCATCTCATGAAAGAACAGAGTCTCAACTCACGCCTTGCATCAGAAATGTTACTCCTCCAACACGACAGCACCATGTTGAACGAGGAAAAGATCACAGTTCCTCTCGCCCAAGCAGTCCCCGTCCTCAAAAAGCATCCCCAAATGGTTCCAATAGCAGTGCTGGGAACAGCAGCAGAAACAGCAGTCAGTCAAGTTCAGATGGTAGTTGTAAGACATCTGGGGAGATGGTGTTGTATATGAAAATGCAAAGGAAGGCACTCGGAATGTAAGAACGTCAGGACGAGTGACACAGATAGAGGACAACACTAGATTTGTTATAGACCCATCCATTTTTACTGCACAGCCAAATACGATGTTGGGCAGGATGTTTGGATCTGGCAGAGAACACAACTTTACACGTCCCAATGAGAAGGGAGAATAGGAGGTGGCAGAGGGAATTGGTTCCACTGTGTTTCGAGCTACTCTGGATTACTACAAAACGGGAATAATTCGTTGTCCTGATGGCACATCAATTCCTGAACTGAGAGAAGCATGTGACTATCTTTGTATCTTTTTCGAATATAGTACTATTAAATGTAGAGATCTCAGTGCCCTTATGCATGAGTTATCAAATGATGGTGCTCGTAGACAATTTGAATTTTATCTGGAAGAAATGATCCTTCCTCTCATGGTAGCTAGTGCCCAGAGTGGAGAACGAGAATGCCATATAGTGGTGCTTACAGATGATGATGTGGTTGATTGGGATGAAGAGTATCCATCACAGATGGGAGAAGAATATTCACAGATTATTTATAGCACAAAATCATATAGATTTTTCAAGTACACTGAAAACAGAGATGTGGTCAAATCAGTTTTGAAGGAGAGGGGTCGTAAGAAGATTAGATTGGGAATAGAAGGTTATCCTACCGACAAAGAAAAAGTAAAGAAGAGGCCTGGGGGCCACCCAGAAGTGATTTACAACTATGTCCAAAGACCATTTATTCGAATGTCCTGGGAGAAGGAAGAAGGAAAGAGTCGGCATGTAGACTTTCAGTGTGTAAAGAGTAAATCCATCACTAACCTCGCAGCAGCTGCGGCAGACATTCCCCAGGACCAGCTGGTGGTCATGCACCCAACTCCGCAAGTGGATGAGGTGGATATTCTCCCTATCCATCCCCCTTCTGGCAACAGTGACCTCGATCCTGATGCACAGAATCCAATGCTGTGATGCTGATGTTCTTTGAAACCATAGCATGCTACTCTTCACAGTGAGGCTGTACTCTCTTCATTCTGCACTGCAAGGCCACTCTTCTTCATTGTGAGATGCACATAACAATGTTTAGGATACTGCAGTGTAGGCTTTTTTAAAGACCAAGGTAGTTGAATGGTTTTTTAAATGAGTACAACTCTAGCATCCTGAAGTTCCAGTTATATAAATGTACTTGTTTACCAGTAGTTCGTGAAATTGGTTCTTTGTATGGGGGACAGTCCTTTTTTCACACATCTGGGTCTTTTCAAAGTGTTGAATTGGCAGCTGGGGTATTTTCAGTT